TAATGAATCTTATGTCACCTTAAGTATGCCTTTGTGAGTACACTCGTGACATGGGTGTCATGCGCGTGAACTTTGTCTTTTGTATCAGATGTGCGAGAGCAACTCCGCTGCGAGTCATGGTGGTGCTGGGAGAATTGCCTTTACCATCGATGGCACTTCACCAGCACCCGTCTCAACCCCACCTCAATCCGGTAGAGTTACAAGAGCGAAAAAACTCATCTCTTGTGACGTCTGTGGGAAAAAATTCCAACTGGCATGGTGCCTAGAATCCCACGTAAGAACGCACAAGGAGACCCGTGATCAATGGAGCGGCATATGCGGACAAAGCTTTGATCAGCTAGGAAAATTCAAAAGGCATATGAAGACCCACTGAAAAGGATTACATGATAAAGGGTGCACCAGGCTTGGTGAATAACGGCAGTTTTGCCAATGCGGTGTTGAATCCGATAGAGTCACTAGAATCTGATAGAGTCACTAGAGTGAGAAAACTAATCTCTTGCGACGTCTGCAGGAAAACATTCCAACTGGCATGGTGCCTAGAGTCCCACATGAGAATGCACAAGACCGGTGGTCAAAGCTGCCACATCTGCGATCAAAGCTTTGATCAGCCCTACAAACTCAGAAGGCATATGGAGTAACCCACGGAAAGAACTCAAGGGGCGCACGTGGCATGGTGAATGACGGCAATTTTGCCAATGCGGTGTTGAAGGTGTGTCAGAGCTACTCGGCTGCGAGTCATGGTGCTGGAAGAATTGCCTTTGCCATGGATGGCACCAGCAGCTCCAGCAGCAGCTTGTCGAGTCCTGGTGGTGAGGAGGCAGAGTTGCAGACAATGCCACCTTCTGCAAAGGGCGCACCTGCATGCAACGAAGTTATTGCTATCACAGCGACCACGCATGGAACGAAGGCGCCTGCTGGGAAACGCCACGCCTGACCAGCGCCCGTCTCGACTCCACCTCACTCCCATAGTCACTAGAGTGAGAAAACAAATGTCTTGCCAAGTCTGTGGGAAAGCATTCCAACTGCCATCATGCCTACAGTACCACATGAGAACGGACAAAGAGACCCCTGACCAATGGCATCTGCGGTCGAAACTTTGATCAGCCAGGCAAATTCAGAAGGCATATGGAAACCTACGAAAGGACTATTGGATATTTCTTTGCTGTTCTATTACTGAAGCTATCAACAGAAGGTGTGTACCGGATTAATTGCACTTGTGGAATGCTATGTTGGGCAAACAGGATGAATGATCAGCACAAGACTATAAGAACACCACAGAAATATGAAATGCTCACAAATACAACTGTCAGCAGTAGCAGAACACACGTGCCCACAAGGACACTCAATTGATAATGTTGAAGTTCTGTGCAAAACTTGTTACTACTGGCCAAGACTAATTACAGAATCTATCGAAATTTAAAGAAATGAAAATAATTGTAATCCATATTCTTAGTTTTTTCGGTAAAGTCACGTTGAAGAGAAACAACAAAATAACAAAATATATATAAAACAATAAAAAAAAATAAAAAATTATCACGACGTTTCGACCATAACTCAAACGGTCATCATCAGGTGTGTTGGTTTGCATAAATTTATTTTTAAAACGGCACATTTATTTATTTATAAAAAACGTTGGCGTCACGCGCAGCGATTGGCAGTTTGCCCAGGACTAGTCCATCTATTTTTTTTTTAAAAGAGGAGGGGGGAGACGAAATTTTTTATAATGTATGCTGTCTGAAAGCCACTGTAAGCGTGAACAATCAATCAAGAACTGAAATGATTTATCAAATCTTTCCAATGATTGCTAAGATAGAATCCATCTTCTCGGTTGAAATTGTCTCTGTGCTTGTATATGTGGATAGCCTCATGAACGAATCTCTCATGGAAGCCAGATGGCTTACAAAGAACCTCCGTCTTGGAAAAGTCAATGGCATGTGAGCCTACTGAATTAGAACAATGATCTGCTACGGCCGAGGTGTTAGTCCTACCGTGTTTAAGGTCTGCTTTATGTTCACGAATGCGGTCCGAGACATGGCGTTTGGTTCCTCCAATGTAACTACTACCACAGAGGCAACTTAGTTTGTAGACACCAGGGTATTGTATGTCCGGAATCACATCTTTTACAGACAGAACCAGATCACGGATTTTATGTAATGTGTTGAAACGGACCTGGATCTTGTGTTTATTCAAGATTTTGGAGATCTTTTTTGTGATCCCAGCAATGTAGGGTAAAGTGATGGTTTTCAAAACCATCACTTTACCCTACATTGCTGGGATCACACACCCTACATTGCTGGGATCACAAAAAAGATCTCCAAAATCTTGAATAAACACAAGATCCAGGTCCGTTTCAACACATTACATAAAATCCGTGATCTGGTTCCGTCTGTAAAAGATGTGATTCCGGACATACAATACCCTGGTGTCTACAAACTAAGTTGCCTCTGTGGTAGTAGTTACATTGGAGAAACCAAACGCCATGTCTCGGACCGCATTCGTGAACATAAATCAGACCTTAAACACGGTAGGACCAACACCTCGGCCGTAGCAGATCATTGTTCTAATTCAGTAGGCTCACATGCCATTGACTTTTCCAAGACGGAGGTTCTTTGTAAGCCATCTGGCTTCCATGAGAGATTCGTTCATGAGGCTATCCACATATACAAGCACAGAGACAATTTCAACCGAGAAGATGGATTCTATCTTAGCAATCATTGGAAAGATTTGATAAATCATTTCAGTTCTTGATTGATTGTTCACGCTTACAGTGGCTTTCAGACAGCATACATTATAAAAAAATTCGTCTCCCCCCTCCTCTTTTAAAAAAAAAATAGATGGACTAGTCCTGGGCAAACTGCCAATCGCTGCGCGTGACGCCAACGTTTTTTTATAAATAAATAAATGTGCCGTTTTAAAAATACATTTATGCAAACCAACACACCTGATGATGACCGTTTGAGTTATGGTCGAAACGTCGTGAGAATTTTTTTTTATTGTTTTATATATATTTTGTTATTTTGTTGTTTCTCTTCAACGTGACTTTACCGAAAAAACTAAGAATATGAATTACTGCAGTCACGAAAGCTTTAAATCAAAATATAATTGTAATCGTTTGGATAGCTACCGACTTAGTGCTGCATGGAAGAGAATCATCAAATTACCGTTTGTACGGCTATTTTAATACACACAATGGACACTAAGTACAAGATCAATGGGCTAGCATAATGTGCATGTATAATGTATGTTGATTCATTAATCCCCCCCCACTTTGCGCTCAAAGAGTGCACAAGTGTTGTCACCACATCTACGTCTCTATATAAGGAATTAAACAGGTGGACTTCTCCCAAACCTTGCTGTTGCCTGATGAAGCTAGTTGTAATTACTGAAACGCCGTACTCCGATGGTAAATGTTGTGGCTTGGCTCTCCAACACACCACACACCGGTGTGCTGTACTAGTGATGAATTGGCATGTTCTGTTTACGTGACAACCCTTACTAGTGGGCTGTCGGGTGGTGGCGGGTTTAACGACACATTTAAATTGTAATAGGTTTTTACCCTTTTATCTGGCACCAAAACTGACACCTTTATGGAAACATGATCCCTTGTATAAAGGTGTCAGTTTTGGTGCCAGATAAAAGGGTAAAAACCTATTACTATATCTTGCTACTGGCAAAGGAGGTCTCATAATGTAAATTCTTACCCCGAGCTCTCAATACTCTGATAGTGCGCTGTTTTTGAGTTGTATGCCTTTTGGCGTCATCTGGTCCAACACCAGTGGAGACTAGGCTCTAAGAAAAGCCGTCTCGGGTGTGGACCAATCAGCTTCAAGGACAGTGTATATCATTATCAGAGTTGTCTCTTTTTGTTTGCATTTTGACTGCTTGTGTTGTGGTTATTGCAAACATGATCCCTTGTATAAAGGTGTCAGTTTTGGTGCCAGATAAAAGGGTAAAAACCTATTACTATATCTTGCTACTGGCAAAGGAGGTCTTATGACACATTTATATATTTACGCGATCCAACCCATAAAACCTGTATTATGGATATTTGTCGCGAAAGCCTACGTGTTAAACTGCCATGTATTTTTACGTCTATTGCTGTATTTTCTTACGTGCAATATATTTAATAATCCATCCTAATTTATTCATATTTTTGTTCATAGTTATATCATTGTTGCGCGTGCGGTGTGGTCAGTGGATATTGTTCAGTGGATCAAACCGAGACAAATATTTTTGCAGCAGCTGTGGCTGCACATTGCAACAGCGCATTCCGAATGGTGTAGAACGCATCGCCCAGAATCTGTATCTGTGTGCAAACACCAGGTATGGTTGGTAAGAAACACGTTTGGTTTTAAATGAATAGAACTCGAGCTTCAGCCATATTGTTCATTATAGACCCCACTTTGTAAGCATTAATCACGCAAACCTTGCGCCTGATTCATTTGAGTCGGTGTGCTCATGAGCAACAGGGCATTTGTGGCAAGGTGTTAATGTACCACAGATTAGCACGGTTGGCTACGTACACTGCGAAAGAAGTTCAACACATATTCTTTGGGTCTTTCCGTAAAGTCACGTAGATAGAACAATAAAATAATGAAAATAAAGTTAATAAAAAAGTAAAATATATCACGACGTTTCGATCGCAACACAAGCAATCGTCATCAGGAGAAAAATGATGAAGATTGCTTGTGTTGAGATCAAAACGTCGTGATATTTGTATTATTATTTTGTATTCACTTTATTTTTATTATTTTATTGTTCTATCTACGTGACTTTACCGAAAGACCCAAAGAATATGAATTCCTGCAGTCACGAAAGCTTTAAGTCAAGATTCAAGTTCAACATACATTCATACATTTTGTAAAGCGAGTATCCTTGCACGTACAATGCACTGGACCGCATGTTCGTGTTAAGTGATTCAGGGGCTTTGTCACTGCCTACCCCATGATATAAATAATCTCAGGGAATTCAATTGCAAGTGTGCAATCTCCCTTCCTGGTGGGCATCGAGGATGAGTCATACCCTGGCTTGCCAGGAGGCAGTGGAACACAACTGTGGAATCCTTTCCATCTGCACGGGATAGAACGTTGCCCCCTTGCTCACATTCGTTCGTTTTCTGCGAGTGTACTGGTTTCCCCCCACATGTAAACACTCAGTAAGTGGCTACAAATATCGGAATGTAAAGAGAACCGCAGATCTTGGGCGATTGTTGGTAGTGCCGGCTCACCGCCTGGCTGCTGTCTCCCCGCTCGTCTGTGGGAGACATATAGAGGTACTGAATTAGATTTATATTCTCTACATAACATGATTCCTATCTACACAAAGCACTCACCGCGTGGAGTACAGCAAGTGATATTCCACGAAATAAAAAATAAACGTACATGACCATAACAGAAGCCAATGGGTACAGCTGTGCATACACGTACACACATATACACGATTCCTACTGATGGAACGATTCACCACTGCCGGAGAGTCAAGGAATTGTCATGATTCAGGATCATGAATGCAAACTGTCCCCGTGCTCAAACCTGAGTACGATTGAAAAGGTCGTAGAACGCCTTTGTCGGAAGCAATTACTTCCCCATGTCACTGCGATGGGCAGATTCATGCCATTGCAGTCGGCTTACACATTGTCAGTAGTACGCAAGCGTACGCATTTGGGTTAACCCCTCCTCCCCCCTCCATGCATACATACTAAATGGATGCCCCCTGACAGCTACACCACCACTCCCCGCACGAGACAAGCACGTGACTCTCGGTGTAAATGGAGCCGGAGCGCGAATAAACGTGCCGATGCCCCAAGTACAGTTGCCACCATTCCTACGACAGAGCAAACCCAGGCACATTTCTCAGCGAGCCGAGGTCTATTGTTAAAACTGTGCAGTTCACGGTGATAAAATTCAACCATAGCCATACCCGGGGTACCAGATCTCGACACAAATTAATTCCTGCTGCCACCCGAACACTGTCCGGGGGTCAAACACAGACAGGTGGCAGCCCCAGTCGCGAGGCCACATCTGCACCGACTCACGGTAAACGTGTGCAGGGCCAGCAGGAAGAGCCCCGGGATCTCGGAGCGCAGCCACTGGTTCCACGCGCTGTCTCGGTCCACGTCCTCGCGTGACGACGACACTTCAAAATCACCTGACCGGAAGGAGGGGGGTGGGAGGGAGAGTAAGAAGGTACGAAGGGGAACCTTCTAACTCTTTCACAGTGACGCGTTCTTCGCGTGCGTCACCCTGCAGCCAACCTCTCTGCTCTCGTGTGTGAACGTGGGTCAGTTTGGTTTAATCGTTCAGAATGAATGGGGCATGACCCTGGCCCTTGTGCAATTTATTATTTTCCATGAGATAATACCAAACACATCATTCATGTGTGTGTGTGTGTGGCCTGCAAGCAAAACTTCTGACCTCTGTGATTGCCAACAAGGGGTCAAATACTTATTTCCCTCATTAAAATGCAAATCAATTTATAACATTTTTCACATGCGTTTTTCTCGATTTTTTTGTTGTTATTCTGTCTCTCACTGTTCAAATAAACCTACCATTAAAAATATAGACTGATCATTTCTTTGTCAGTGGGCAAACGTACAAAAGCAGCAGGGGATCAAAGACTTTTTTTCCCTCACTGTATGCATTAGTTCTGCCCGTACCTCTTTGTGCCTGTGTAGTGGGCAGGCAAGTGTGGTGGAGCAGCAGGTCCAGCACACGGGGTGTCCAGCAGAGGAGAGGAACTCCCCGTGGCCGTGGCCGGGGAAGCAGAGGTCGGCGGCGCTGGGAGCGGCGTCAGTTGCGCGGCGTCTGTGGGAGAAGGCACAGGCCTCTGCTGAAGAATATCATCCGCAGACACATCACACGGCTTGCCGGACACGTCACACACTCGGCCCTGTGATTGTGGAGGTGAGACAGGTTCGCGCGTGGCAACGAATGGCTTGTCGCTGGACAAACATCGACGGCAACATCGGGAGAACGCGGCACGAACTCGTGCAGAGTTTCTGGCACCGTATGAATTTACACTACTTGTAGGTATGTACGTTGAACCTCTTTCGCGCCGTACGTCAGCCAGCCGTGCTAATCGGAGGTGCAGATGGATGCAATTGAAGGAAGTGGAGCAGAGATTTCAAAATGAAACAAAAGAAATTGATACAGAAATTATACAAGTCCAGGGGACTTCACCAAGGCCGTGTTATCGCAGACTCTGACAGAGCACAAAAGAAGACTGGCAATGGCAAAAAATGGCTTCATAACTATCATTGTCAGATGGCACACTTGCACCTTCAGTCTTCAGTCGGCGTCAGTAATTTAAGAATGCACGCATGATGCGTGACACCAACTAAAATGGCATCGATGCTGACTAATCACATCCTCTCCAAGATGTGGAACTCAAGAGACATGGATGCCTCTTCCAAACAGGACTACCCTTGACAATTGAGTTGTCGCCTGGGTAAAGATAAAATGAACTAGGAGATTTCAACTTGAAAATCCAAACCATCGCACCAACAGTAATGGACGGAATCCTATATAAGGCGCACACTGCAGGAGCTTCAGGTAGGACTCTGGTACCTGCTTTAACGTCTGTGTGAGAAGCATCTTCTCCCACTGAAATTCAAACAAAGTTGACAGTTAGACAGGACATGTTTTAAAACATCCGCAGTAAAATTCAAGTATGTATACCATTAAAGTAAACTATTTTTTATTTACCAGGTAAGGCCCATTGAGAGCTATTAAGCTCTTTTTCAGAAGCGACCTGGCCACAAATTATAGCTTAACGAAGTGGCTTATCACGTGGAAATTTATAGTAGCCAAATACTCTAAACGCATTACTTACAAATAGCTCACAAAGCGGTTATCCTCCCACTACCCTTGGGTTACCTCCTGTCCCGGTCCAGCCGAGACAGTCTGTGAATTGGCATCTGTGTTTGGGTGGCATGAATTAATTTGTACCGAGATCTGGTACCGGTACTGTGCTGAACTTTACTACTGCATGGTTGTTGACAGACCTAGACAGACTGAAACATAGGTCTGGGTTTGATCTCCATAGTGGAAAAGGTGGTAACCCGAAAACTAACCCAAACCCTTCCACATTCAACGATAAACACTTTCAAACCGAGTTCGCTCGGAAATGACCCCACTAAACCGCACGTATGTAAACGTTTCACTTCAGTGGTTCCTCCGCCGCGTGCGAACGATGAAGTGCACGGCCTCTCGTGATGATGACCTCACACCCGCATGGCTGCACGAAAGGCGGTGCTGACGAGCATGAGGCAGGTGGAAGAGGCAAAACGAGGAGGCAAGATTAGAGTGCTGTAGTCGGTGGGGTATAGTGGGGCCTATTTCCGAATGATTGATTTATGCGGAAATGAAATTGGTCAAGAGTCCGTTACTTTGTAAACATTAGCATGTATCTACTTTAATACCAAGTCTGCAGGGGTGGGAAAGATGAGGTCTGTTCATTCTGGTGGGCAAAGGTAATTTAGACACTCCAAGTTAAGTCTGGTGGCATAAGGATGAAATGCACCTTACAAATGTAAATAATAATGATTATTAATCAATCTTCTTCTTCACTCCCACGGTGTTCCAACCAGGGTTAGGCCATGTAATGATCTGACGTGCTGTACACTTGTACAGTGTTACTGAATTATTGTATCATTATGAATTCAGTGCCCCTTCTGCGACCTTTCCCTAGATACCCCTCTGGTGTATAACCTGGCCTGCTGACGTCAGGGCCGTAAGCCGCAGATCCCTTTCCCTGCCAGCAGCCAGCGCTATACTGTTACATTACGATTCTATGCCAAAACACAGGGAATCCTCTACTTACGATCATTCAACTTACGAACTTTCAGAGATATGATCAAACCTGTCCGTATGTCCAGTTTCCTGTTCGGACCGAGAGTCGTAAGTTCAACTGCCGCACAATAGGTGGTGATGGTGGCATCTACATCTGCAGAACGTGAAGAACCAGAGGCAACTATTAAAGCCATTCCCCGTGTTTAGTGTACAAGCCGTAAAACGTGTTTGAAATCGACGGGAGTAAAGTTGGACTCACGAACAAATCGACTTACGAACAGACCTCTGGAACCGAACTCGTTTGTACGTACAAGAGTCTGTATATGGTGGTCACTCTGAACAACACAGACCCAGCCTCCTTTTTACTATTTTTGGTCCATTAGGACATTACCAGACCCATGTTTCTGTGCTAACGACCACACAATACACATTAGACGTGTCACAACAGGTCACGTTTAATAGTCTAAACTTGTCTGGAGTAAGTCGCATATGGTAGACATTTCTGCACATTTGCAGAATTACATGTCAATGATAAAGGAACCATGTGTATTGCATTACACAGGTGTTTTGATCATGTGTGGATGCAGATTCCCGCAGCAATACAGGGAATAGGTTGTTCGCAGAGCCACTGATTAATCAGAATCAGAATCTTTTTTATATCCTGGAGGAATACGAAAAGACACTTTTTTTGCTAATTGGCCGTGTCGGGTGGTGGAGGGTTACGACACATTTATAAATAAACGCGATCTAACCCAAAAACCTTTATTATGAAGGATTGTTTTTATTTACATGCGTTTGGGTAATTTGTTTACCTTTCTTGTACTTTGCACTGCTATCGTATTTTTGTATTGTTTGTTGTTGTAACGTTCTCACCCGCCCCTACTGGACGTCTGTGAAAAAGTTCTTTGTAGCTCATCAAATTCCTCCAGTATAAATACACATGCCGATTCTGACATTCATTGTAAGTATGTAATGTTGAACTTCTTTCGCACCGTATGTAACCGACCATGCTAATCGGAGGTGCAGAGGAAGGGCAACAAACTAAACACAAACAGCGTGTTGACGGTGTGTTTAATGGTTCCCTCAGCCATTGGGATTCACACTCTTGGCTTAGGACCACTCATGGAGGGTGAATGAGCATTGCCTCCGCCCCTGCGTGTTGCGATGCTCAGAGCGAGGTGACAACTCTCATTCCGTGCGTTCTCCCCCCCCCACCCCACAGCATCAACAACAAGAGACAGCAGCTGGAGTTGGAGATCATGAAGATCCTGCAGAGCAAGGGGGACCCTGACAACAACAACATCGTCACCCTCCTGGACAACTTCACCTTCCGGGGACACAACTGCGTCGTCCTGGAGCTCATCAGGTGAGTGTCATGGTGTCCGATGAACACCGATCCAAAGACAAAGATTAACCAGTATAGCCTGAGAAGATTGTTGGGGCAAGTGCTGTTAGCAAGTAGCGCCTATGAAGACGGGCAAGGCACACGAGGAGGTGGGTGGGCAGCACCACGCCCGGCAGCCTTTGTCTCCCCAGTGGCGATGTTTACACACCGCACCAGGTACTCATTTGAGGCTGAGTCGATCTAGGGGAGGCCCAGGATTGGTTCAAATAATCGTCACCGGTCTTGGCCGTGAGCGGGAATTGTAGAGCAACGCGCTAAACGCCGCACCACCGCTCCCCCAAACACCGATGCGTCCGTGTGTTCACACACATGAGTCATTTGGATGTAGAATAAATGTCCGTAGGCTTTCAGAATGCCCTAGAACAGGGGTCGGGAACCTATGGCTCGCGAGCCAGATGTGGCTCTTTTGATGATTGCATATGGCTCGCAGATAAAACAAAATATTCTCACTTGTTTTAATCCATCCATCGATTTTTCACTGCGCATGTCCTGTTCAGGGCTGCAGGAGCAATTGTCCATTATTTTAATTGGATGATACTGGCCTACGTTTGCCGTTGCTGGGTAAAACAGGTAAACGCCCCCTTTTGAATCAGTCTGAGACTGCGTCTGCTCGGTCATTAGCTCAAAGCTAACCCTTCGACGAAGAAGATGGCGAAAAGAAAAAAAGACGACGAGTATCGTACAAAATTTTGATTTAAAGCTTTCGTGACTGCAGTAATTCATATTCTTAGTTTTTTCGGTAAAGTCACGTTGAAGAGAAACAACAAAATAACAAAATATATATAAAACAATAAAAAATTCTCACGACGTTTCGACCATAACTCAAACGGTCATCATCAGGTGTGTCGGTTGATGATGACCGTTTGAGTTATGGTCGAAACGTCGTGAGAATTTTTTATTGTTTTATATATATTTTGTTATTTTTGTT